CTGTCATTTACCCAAGCAAACATGTGAGTTATCTAGCTACTTGTAGTTAGCAAAGTTGCAAAGCTCAGTTCTTGGAAATTCTATCTGAAAAGCCAGCAAGACTGTAGGAAAATTAAACTGAACCACAACTCAGCCATGAGAAGATTAAACTGGGAGAAGAGAAACGGGTAGAGGGAAACGTGACATTGGAGGCAATGTTGATCTTTTTTTCTCTCTCCAAATGGGGACTTCATGAGTTTGCCTACCTTCATCTGCTCTTGTGATAATACAGTATATTGATTTCTTCAGTCAGACCAATTTAGGGCAAACCTAAACATTTCAGAATCCATTCCTGACAATTCCAGAAACCAGTTTGGGTGTAGCAGCTAAACTGATGGGCGAGAAACTAGATAAAACATCAGTTCTGGTCACCTACTTAGATTGATGTAGGAGAAATAGGAGATAGGAAGCATTAGGTATGTAGGATGCCTTGAGTTAACTAAAAATAAAAGTGGGATAAAAACCATGATAAAAAATAAACTCCACAGAAGGGCTGGGAAAACCCCCGTTTGAAGTGGTTATCCGTAGGAATAAACCGTTCTGAACCAGATGAATCAAAAGCTCCCCTTTGATTACAGTAATTGTAACTGATCACAATAACTAATCACAGGAGTCCTAGTGGACCATCACTTAAATATGAGCCAGCAATGGGCTGCAGCTGGCAAAAAAAAGGCCGATGCAGTCCTAGACTGCATCAACAGAGGGATAACATCAAGACCACATGAAGTACTAGTACCGCTATATACTGCTTTAGTAAGACCACACTTGAAATACTGCATCCAATTTTGGTCACCGTGATATTAAAAAGACATTGAGACTCTAGAAAAAGTGCAGAGAAGCAACAAAGATGATTAAGGGGCTGGTGCAATGGAAAGAAGGACTAGGAGTGACCTGATAGCAGTCTTCCAATATTTGTCACCGAGAGGTCCACCTGTTCTCCAAAGCTCCAGAGAGCAAGACAAGAAGAGATGGAAATTTATCAAGGAGAGAACCAACCTAGAAATAAGAATTCCTGTCTTATGAAACATATGGAAACGGACCGACCTCTTTCAAAGCAGTCATGATTATTGGGGTCTCTAACCTCACTGCTTATTATCCACGATCTAATAATCTGAACCTCTTTACCCCAGAACTAATAAAGGTCGTGCTAAATGGTCTTTTCTCATCTGCTGCAATGGAGGATAAAGGGTTGATGGATATGGGAGTCCCTCTTTCTCCCTCCCTGTCTGCAACAATGGGGTATGGTTGGTATATATCTGACGGAGATGAGTGGTTAAGAAATAGAAATATAAGTAAATAAATATAGTTAATCTCACCCCAATATTTGAAATTGCATTTATTCAGAATTTCCTTTGGATTATTATTAATTAATCTTAATTAATTCAAATTATAGGGTATCCTGCTTGAGCAGAGTTGGACTAGAAGACTTCCAAGGTCCCTTCTATTCTGATTGATTGATTGATTGATTGAATGAATGAATGAATGAATGAATGAATGAATGAATGAATGAATGAATGAATGAATGAATGCAGTTCACAGCATGCCATTCTGACTTATGGAGGACAACCATTTAAGAACAAAACCTTCAGTTTAAAGAGAGATTCAAGATTAAAGAGAGATCCAATCTAAATGTAGGGAGAAATGTTCTGACAATGAGAACTATTAATCAATGAAATAGCTTGCCTCCTGGAGTTGTGAGAACGCCATCACTGGAGATTTTCAAAAATAGAACGGAAAGCCATTTAACTGGGATAATAAGATCTCCTAGTTTGAGCAGTGGGTTGGACTAGAAGATCTCTGAGGTCCCTTCCAGTCCTATGATTCTATGCTTTATATTCTAAGCTTGAAATTTGCATCTGCAGACAGCAAAAGGGGCTCCAATGATGACAACAAAAGCATAGGGAGTAGGAGGCTCAAGCAGTGGTGCACAGAACTGGAATTTTAAACCCGTACCTTCATTTGCATCCATGAAATGTTGGATGATACAGTAAAGAGCTAATTCATGAACTGTGTTTGGTTTTTTGCACCCATCACTGAGGGTTAGTGTATTATTCTGGGAAGGGACTATAGCTCAGTGACAAATTACGTGCAAGCAGATTTAATCTCCAATTCAAAGGGATCTCAAGGCAATGGAAAACTGGTCTGTAAGCAGCCACAGATCAAAGCTGACAATGCTAGGCTAAATATCCGTCGAAAGGTAATCTGAGTCAACTTCCTGTGTCCACAGGAAATTTTGTTCATTGCCTATTCTCTGGCTTCTAAGACTGCAGAAGGCACAATCAACACCTATTCTACTCAAGTGTGCATTGCTGGAAGATAAAAAGAAAACCAATGAATTTCAAGGAAGTAGGATTTTTGAACTGATTACAAGGGCCTTTACTAAGTCATCTTCTTTCTTCACGGATGTCTACTTAGATGATGTTTTGTTGTTGAAGAAACATGACGGAACTATTATCAATGCTGGCTTGTTGATCTCCCCAAGGTCTTCCCACTAGGGACCTCGGAGTTCTAGTGAACAATCACTTAAATATGAGCCAGCAGTGTGCTGCAGCTGCCAAAAAAGCCAACACAGTGCTAGGCTGCATTAACAGAGGGATAAAGTCAAGATCACGTGAAGTATTAATACCACTTTACAATGCCTTGGTAAGGCCACACTTGGAATACTGCATCCAGTACTGCTGGATGCTGAGACTCTAGAAAGAGTGCAGAGAAGAGCAACAAAGATGATTAGGGGACTGGAGGCTAAAGCATATGAGGAACGGCTGCTGGAATTGGGTATGTCTAGTTTAACGAAGAGAAGGACAAGGGGGGACATGATAGCAGTCTTCCAATATCTCAGGGGCTTCCACAAAGAAGAGGGAGTCAAGCTATTCTCCAAAGCGCCTGAAGGCAGGACAAGAAGCAACAGATGGAAACTAATCAAGGAGAGAAGCAACCTAGAACTAAGGAGAAACTTCCTGACAGTTAGAACAATTAACCAGTGGAACAATGCCTCCAGAAGCGGTGAATGCGCCAACACTGGAAGTTTTTAAGAAGAAACTGGACAGCCATTTGTCTGGAATAGTGTAAGATCTCCTGCTCAATCATGTGGTTGGATTGGAAGACCTTTCCAACTCTGTTATTCTGTAATTTATAATATCCTAAGCCGGAACAAATATATAACACTAGGGTTTAATGTGATGTCCTGGTTCTCATGATATATCTACATATAGGGTAATTTAGCCACTGATCTTTATAAACCAGATTGAAAATAGCTCGGAATTTCATGTCATCAAGAGCATACTATGAAGGCACGGTAAGGTCTGTTTTTTCCATTGTTAGCCCCTCATCAGATCATGATTAGGCCAATTCAAGACATTTGGTCCAGTAAGGGTAAAAAGAGACATGTAATATTTTCTAGCAAATCAAGATTTCAACCCAGTATTTTGATTTAGTTCTCATGAGAATATTATCTGCTGACGCAGCACAAGCCCAATGAAGTAAGGACATTGCATTTTGCCTCCTATTTTGTTTCAGAATTCTACTTGCTATTTTAAGGCCCCTGTCTAAATATTACTAATTGCAAGCAGAAAAAACAAACAAACAGATAAAAACATTTGGCTCTCAAATTGTGCATTGTTGAGAAATATTTGGTGCATCATGACAAAGATCTATGCCATGCCCTATTAAATGAACCAGAAAGTTGGGTTCTGCAAAAACAGCATAAAATGGCTTCTTTTTCCTCTACTATCCATATAAAAGAGAGATATTTGCTAGTTTAACGTTCAACAAAGAAATGCGAAACTGGACTGTATATTCATTAAGCATAGAAGAGTTTAAATGCAACTGCTTCATTACTAAGGAAGGGAAACACAGATCTTCTGATTTAATTATTTCACAGCAAGAAAGGAATTACAGAGACAATCCTCGCTGAACCTCATTTGCAATCTGGTAAATAGGCAAGACAGCCTGAAATAAACAGGGAATTCCACAAATGCGAGACAACTATGCATACATTCAGATTAACATAAATGTCTGCTCTTCAACAGTTCCTTTCTGTCTTCATCTCTAAAGGACATAAAAGTTATCCAAGAGAAAAATGGAATTAGATTATACCATTACAAACAGACTTTGAAGGTGAATTGCTGACATTTTTCTCTGTTTTCACAACTAGCAGTAGCAATAGCACTTAGACTTATATACCGCTTCACAATGCTTTACAGCCCTCTCTAAACTGTTTATAGAGTCAGCATATTGCTCCCAACAATGTTGATCATTTTACCAACTTCGGAAAGAAAGAAGGCTCCAGCTAGTTAGGACTGAACAGAGTCAGCCTGCGATATACATTCTACCACAGACCTTCCTATCTGAAGTTATCCATATGTAGGACTGGTATAGCTAGTTTCAACATGTCTGGAAGCACCAGATCTGTGCTGAAACATATACATTCCTTAAGTCAATGAAAAATACAATGTACCATCAAATATATTGGAGAAGTATATCTCGCTTCACAAAAGGCTAGGCAATAAACATCCTCCCTCTAGAAATTTAACATTGTACTCAATAGCTAATTGCAGAAACTTTAAGGATCTGCTAAATGAGCAACTTTAATTGAAAATATGAAAGATGCAATGTGCACATAGAAGATCCATCCACCAGAGAGCACAGGAATCGAGCCTTATTTGTGCACATGTCAGATTAAACACAGATTAAGGAACTCTGGACGGGAGATATAATTTTAGCAGAGCCATTTTTTTCCATTGTAGCAGAATACTTTAGTAGGAACGACCCTTCAATATGACATTTGCTACCACATCGCGCATACTTGAATAAACTAAAACCACTTATGATCCCCTTTTCCATGGGGCTTTTCCCCCTCCAAAACAGATTTTTATCTAAATTTAATTAATCTGACACTTCATATTAAACCAAATGGACATTTGCTCGGTCAAGAGGCATTTCTAGATGAAATTTAAACTCACCACTTGAAGCAGAGCCAAGTAACCCGCACCGACATTGTCGAAGTTGACTTTCACTACGGTCCAGTATAACTCTCCGGTGTCATTCATGCTTTGACACTCACTCTTGTTGTTGACAATTGTGTGGTTCAAAGGCTCATCGCCTTCTGTCTTGTTAATGCACTTCCCAAATTTTCCGGCAAATAAGTTGACTCCCATGATGCTGAAGATGAGCCAAAAAATCAGGCAGACAAGCAGAACGTTCATGATGGAAGGGATGGCCCCTACCAAGGCATTGACCACCACCTTGGATGGAGGAGAAGACAACGTTCAGTTAACTGCAATGGATCTGCTGTATCACCCCACCTAGAACCTGATTGTGCTAGACATTTCCTAACTCAAACTGTACACCCAAAAAGAGGCAGTTTAAAAATAAACTTATGTAGCAAATGTAAGTGTGGAAGTCCCTTTCGTTTCCTGTCTTTAGAAAAGACTAAGAAAGACTTGCCCAATGGACTTTCTACAAGTTCATTCATCTCAGGGAATTAACTAACTTATCCCTCCAAGATTTTGTACTAGTCTAATAAAAATTTATTGATATTCTACAGGTAGTCCTCAACTTACAACAGTTCATTTAGTGACAGTTCAACATTACAACGGCACTGAATAAAAGAGATTTGTGATCATTTTTCACTTACAACCGTTGCAGTTTCCTCAGGGTCACCTGATTAAGCTTCAGGCGCTTGGCAACTGACTCATATTTATGACAGCTGCACTGTTTGTGACTTTCTGACAAGCAAAGTCAATGGGGGAAGCCAGATTCACTTAACAACCGTGTTACTAACTTAATAACGGTAGTGATTCATTTAACAACTGTGGCAAGAAAAATCGTAAAATGGAACAAAATTCACTTAACAACTGCCTCGCTTAGCAACAGAAATGTTGGGCTCAATTGTAGTTGTAGTCTGAGGACTACCTGTATCTAGTTTATTTAGCATTGCTTTTGATAGCTGAGCTCTTCTCACCAAGATATGACTCCCTTCCATTGGCAGCTATATGAAAATAAGTGTCAGACTCACAAATTCCCAGATGCTGAAGCACAATGTGGAAATGCCTCTTTTGTTGCGTTGACATGGAGCCATTAAAGCAATATTCAGTTTCTGGAACCAAAGTTGTTTTTATAATGTGGTGTCCTGCTCCCTAATTTATCTTGGCCATCAAAAGCATGTAGAAGAGCATTATTTTATGTATAGTTATTGTCATAAAATATCTTTTGCCAGCTCAGAGCCCATTGTGTAGGTCTTACTACATGTTTAATATTTATAGGAACCTATTTTCTGATTAATAATTCATATAATATTGTTTATCAAAGCTCTAAGATGCATTGGCATACCTATGGCTCCAGTAGATATGCCTAGAATGAGAAAGGGAGATTTTCTTCCAATTAACAAATATATCCAAGATATAATCTTTTTGAAACTCACATCCAGTTTGTACAAACATGCACACACACTGTAGATACGAGCAATTCCAGCATGTTTGAATATGCATTCACATGGAACAATGTAATGTATGAACTGCATATTCAAGCTACTGTGGACATGATTATTAGGACATAGCTATGAGAATTGCTGCAAATTATATTCATGGTCATCTGTGTAAACATTCTCAGGAAGTTCATTTGTTCAAAACACTTGCACACATCACTTCCATTCATTGACTATTATAACCCGTCATCACAACTAGTTTGATTGAAATCAATCCCGTAATACAAGTTTTGATGACCTTTAAAACTAAAATACAATTTGGATGGGAGCTCCTGATTAGACACCTGTAAAACAATGAAATTCTGGAAAATTGAGGGCCATTACCTTCAAATCAATTCAGGTACTGAATAATGTAAGTCAGGATCTCCAGACTTGGTAACTTTAATATTTGTGGACTTCAACTTCCAGAATTCCTCAGCCAGTCTTAAAATTGCCAAATTTGGAGTCCCCTGGTTTAACTCACATAGCAGAAGAAGGTGTCCCTCTCTCCACTAGGATAAGAGGACAAAAATTTCTGCTTGGTGACTTGATCTGATCTGCACCATTTTTTCCTCGTTTTCTGATATGGTCATGATGCAAACCAGCATCTACGTTGAACATTTTTGAGACTGTAACAGAGGACTGTTTTTTTTCAGTCCTTGGTTTATCACTAGAACACATTCTTTCATTATTCAAGTTTTCATATAAATTTCATATGTCTACAAATTTCTGCTTTCCTGTATCTTCCCAGCAGGATCAATGAGCAATATAAATTATTTCATGAGAGACGGAAAGATAATACTGCATAGCTGAGGACAGAATTATGTAAGATATGGTCAAACGACCAAGAATGTAGATTGGAATGAGGCCGATCCACTTTGGAAAGGCTTAAGACCAAAGAAACATACATCAATCAAGGCAAGACAACACCATTGTGGTAAGAAAAGTCTCATTTGCAATATTGTACTGAAGCAGTGAAGATGGATATTTTAGCAGGATAAGAATTATCACCTGAAGCATGAAATATTTGAGTAATATTGACATGCAGTCTAACAGACAATACAACAAATTACAGACACATCACTCAAGTCTTCAATCACCAATCTCAAGTATAAAGAAGGGAGGAGTTATACACACAGAACATTAAAGATTCTATATACTATTCAGCAAAAGACAACGTTGACTAAACAAAAAAATATAGGGTGGAACTGCAATTGCCTTGTGTTCAGCTGATCTGAGCTGTGTTGTTTCGAGACGTTTCTCACAATTGTTACTTTCATTGGCTTAGACAACCTTTCCAGCTCAGTAATGTTTCTCCTCTTTGTTTTTATCAAGTGCAAATATGTCTCTTTGTGATTTGTATCTTTGATCTTCGTATCAGCTTTTACTTCACCTTCCTTGGATTTCTGGAATGGAGGCTAAGCTGTATTGATCTCAGGAAATAACACGTTGTTTCAAGTGTAAATCGAATTATAGGAAATGTTACATCTTATCTCATGAGTCCGTTGTAGACTTTTGGGCAAGTTGATTTATTTCGATATACCATGTGCATCTCTCTGTGTTTTTTTTAAATGTATATTATACTTTAATCACATAATACTGATATTATGAAGTTCTTTTGAAAACTTCATAGATAATATTGGTTTGTAAGATTTACATTCTTTTTTTCTCGAGGAAATCAGGGTGGTGTATGCAGCATTTTTGCCTTCAATTTTATATCCCTGAAACAGAGTGCGGGTTGAATGAAGGAGTGAAAGTTAACCAGTAAGTATCTGAGATTGAAGTTGGACTTGTAGCTTCAGTGTAGCTGTCCCCGAACAACAATTTAACCACTACATCACACCGGTGTAGGAAATGAACATTGAGGATTTACTTGTCAATTTTTGTACGTTTATTGTACATTTTTCCATTTGTTCAAATCAGCCTTCACCCACTGTAATGGAATGCATGGATGATCTTAAGGAAAGAGAAGATATAAGTAATCTTCCAACTTACAACCACAATGTTGCTAAGTGAAACATTTGTTAATTGAGTTTTGACCTTTCTTGCCACATTTGAGTGAATCACTGCAGTTGTTAAGTTACTAACACCGTTGTTAAGTGAATCTGGCTTCCCCATTGACTTTGCTTGTCAGAAAGTCGCAAAAGGTGATCTCATGACCCCGAGACACAGCAATGGTCATAAATACGAACCAGTTGACAATTTTGATCACGTGACCATGGGGATGCTGCAAGGGTCGTAAGTGTGAAAACGGTCATAAGCTGTTTTCAGAGCTGTTGTAAGTTGGAATGGTCACTAAATGAATGGTTGTAAGTCAAGGACTACCTGTATGCCTAGGAAACAATTAGAGAAGGGGGCCAAAGCCCCTAGTCCAGGGGTAGGCAACCTCGACTCTTTTATGACTCATGGACTTCAACTCCCAGAATTCCCGAGTCAGCATAGCTGACTCGGGAATTCTGGGAGTTGAAGTCCATGAGTCATAAAAGACCCGAGGTTGCCTACCCCTGCCCTAGTCCATTAACAGCTGGAGGAAAAAAAACAAGAAAGGATTTCCCCTAATGGAGCAAGCAGTTAAAATTGGAAGATGGCAAGTTTGTTCCTTCAGATTACAAGATTCTGTTAACGTAGCTTTTACAATAAAGGAGGTTTAGCTCACCTAAATGTGTTTCCTGTCTGATTTACTGGGCAGGCTGACACCCGCCTGATAGCTAAGTAAGTAAAGGGAAGCTGCTTTAAAACATCAACATCCTTCATTTTAAAGCTTATAAGCCAGTGGCCCCCAAACTTTTGGGCATCAGGGACCGGTTCCGTGGAAAGAGGTTTCTCCGTGGACTGGAAGGGGCCTGGTTTGTGTGCTGCCTGCATCCTGTGGATGGCGCTTCGCTTGTGAGCGTGGCCCAGTTTCTGGCATGCTGTGGACCAGTGCCGGTCCATGGACCGGGGGTTGGGGACCCCTGTTATAAGTTATTCATTCTATCACAGAATGGGAAGTTGTCTGTTTAATAATGGTTTGAGGGAATCAGGAAGAATTGTGTGGGGCAAAATTATTTCCCCAGAAACAGGAATTGTACAGTCAATAGGCAGCCCTTGACTTACACCCATTCATTTGGAATCATTCAAAGTTATGACAGCAATGAAAAAAGTGACTTATGATTGCTTTTCACCCTCACAACCATGGCAGCATCCCTATGGTCACATGATCAAAATTTGGACGCTGACTCATATTTATAATAGTTGCAATGTCCCAAGGCCATGTGATCACCCTTTGCGACCTTCTCAGTAGGAAAGTCATTGGGGAAGCCAGGTTAACAACCATTAATAACTTAACAACTGCGGTGATTCGCTTAACAAATGTATCAAGAAAGGTCATAAAATGGGGCAAAACCACTTAACAGCTGTTTCATTTAGGAACAGAAATTTGGACTCAATTGTAGTCATAAGTCGAGAACTACCTGTATTCCCCATGGAGATACCACTCCATAATCTCCCCCAAAAGGCGATGTGCTGTAGTGGAGAAAGTGTTGGATAAGGAACAGGGAGAACTCAATCCAAGCCCTCCCCAAGTCTCAGATTTTTGCTAGGTGGTTTTGAATCAGTCATGGTATCTCAGGCCAGCCTATGTCACAAGGTTGCAGCTTATGGAAAATACCTTGACCTCTTGAGGAAAAGTTGGATATAAGTCTAACAAACAAGTTTACATTGACAGCATAGTGACTATTGGCAGGAAGAATATGAATTAGGAACATGGTAAGAGGGGGCTGAGATGCATGTTAATGCATT